ATTTATTCTAGTAATTTTTTCATTCAAAAATTGACACTTGTGAATTTTTCTTATCATTTATTTATGAAATTTTGTTTTCTAGTTTTAAACAAAAATTTATTAATTTATAAATTAAATTAATGTAAAATAAAAAAATGCCGTGTAGTGGCGGTTGAGAATATCCACTACCCCATATCTTCCTGTGGGTGTCGTAAGAGGCGACAGAGGGAGACAGGCAGGAGATGGGCAGCAGCATCTTCCTGATAACAACTGTGTTATAATAAAAAACTGCGGTTGCCAACCCGCTCGCCAAGCGTGGCAACTATGGCAAGTATCCCCCCATAAATAACGACGCAAACAAACGGCCCCCAGTCCCCGGCGGCCCCGCTATTCCTGGCTACGGTGGCGACCATGGTAACGGCGGGGCAGGGGGTGCTAAGAATCCGGTGGAGGTTCGGTTGCCACCTACGACGACTCGACCTGGCAACATATAACGCACGCACCCTGAGGACTGACGAGAAGATACTGGAGCTGGAAGAAGAGGTAGACAAGTTGCGCTGGCATATTATTGGATTATTCGAGGTCCGAAGAGAGGGGGAGGATACGGCAATCCTCGAGTCCGGCAACTTGTTCTACCACCGGGAGGGCGACCATCTGTCCCAAGGAGGTATCGGATTTATCGTCCACAAGTCTCTCGTCAACAACGTTGTAAAGATTGGGAGTGTGTCGACGAGGGTCGCGTACCTGATACTCAGAATCACCAAACGGTATTCGCTGAAGGTCATACAGGTTTACGCACCAACCTCGGCACATCCCGATGAGGAGGTGGAGGAAATGTATGAGGATATTTCCAGAGCCATGCATTCCTCCAAAACCCACTACACGGTGTTGATGGGAGACTTCAACGCAAAACTAGGCACAAGAGAAAGCGGTGAGCTGAAGGTGGGGAAGTTTGGAGTAGGGCAACGGAACCGAAGGGCGCAGCGGCCGACTTTATGGAGAAAGAGGGACTCTTTATGATGAACTCTTTCTTCCAGAAGCGGTCCCACAGGAAGGAGACCTGGTCGAGCCCCGACGGTTCGACAAAAAATGAGATTGACTTCATTATGACGACCAGACGCCAACTGTTCAGTGATGTCTCAGTGATCGTAAGGGTGAAAACTGGCAACGATCACCGAATGGTTAGAGGCACACTGAACCTAAAAGTTAAGTTGGAGAGGTCTCGTCTAATGAAGTCAACGCTCCGTCCCCCTCGTGCTCTAATCCAGAATCCCGAAACCTTTCAGCTCGAGTTACAAAACCGCTTTCAGTGCCTAGAGGATTGCAATGCAGTGGACGATATGAATGACAAGCTCGTGGAAACTGTCCATGCGGTCGGAGCTAAGTTCTGCAAGACCCGCCGCAGAAGAACACAAAAACTCTCCGATCACACTCTTAATCTCATGGCTGTTAGACGGGAGATGAGGCTGCAATCGTCAACAGATTTGACAGCATACAGGCAACTGAACAGACAGATCTCCAAATGCATGCGGCGAGACTTCGCAACTTTAATACTGCTCGTATTAAAGAAGCGATCGAGCGGAACCAGGGCTCCAAAGTCTTTGCCAGAGATCTGTCTGCCAGAAAGAGCCAACTGTCAAGGCTGAAGACTGAGTGTGGCAACATCGTTTCCGGGACACCTGAGATTGTGAGTGAGATTGAGAGGTTCTATGGGCAGCTGTACACATCATCGTTGGAGCCACACACAAGTGTGAGTAACGATCCAAGAGCAAGTCTTATCCGACACTATTCCTATGATATCCCGGACGTCAGTCTGAGCGAGATTAGAATGGCTCTCCACCACCTTAAAAACGGCAAGGCCCCGGGCGAGGATGGAATTACAGCGGAGCTTCTGAAAGCGGGTGGAACACCGGTACTTGAAGTCCTTCAGAAGCTCTTCAATTCCGTCCTCCATGGTGGCACTACTCCGGAGGCGTGGAGCAGAAGCGCGGTGGTCTTGTTCTTTAAGAAAGGCGACAACGCTCTCTTGAAGAACTACAGACCGAATTCCCTTCCGAGCCGCGTCTACATGCTGTTTTCGAGAGTCATTACAAATCGTCTCGCACGCAGACTCGACGACTTCCAGCCTCCCGAACAAGCCGGTTTCCGAAAAGGCTTCAGTACCATAGACCACATACATACCCTGCGGCAGATTGTACAGAAGACCGAGGAGTACAATCTGCCACTTTGCCTGGCATATGTGGACTATGAGAAAGCCTTTGATTCCGTCGAAATTTGGGCGGTGCTACAGTCCCTTCAGCGGTGCCAAGTTGACTGTCGGTATATCGAAGTGCTCTGAAGTGTTTGTACAGCAGGGCTACGATGGCTATCCGAGTACGGAACCAGAGTTCGAAACCTATCCAACTGCAGAGAGGTGTAAGACAGGGTGATGTTATATCCCCGAAACTCTTCACCGCTGCGTTGGAAGACGTTTTCAAGCTACTGGACTGGAAAGGATACGGTATTAACATCAATGGCGTGTACATCACTCACCTTCGATTTGCCGACGATATAGTCCTTATGGCAGAATCGCTGGAGGACCTTAGCACTATGCTCAATGACCTCAATGGTGTCTCCCAACGGATAGGTCTTAAGATGAACACGGACAAAACAAAGATCATGTTTAATGTCCATGTCACACCTATGCCGGTAGTTGTTGGGAGCACTATGCTCGAAGTTGCTGACGAGTACGTTTACCTGGGACAAATAGTCCGACTAGGTAAGTCCAAATTCGACCGAGAGGTCAATCGACGGATTCAACTCGGCTGGGCAGCGTTCGGGAAATTACGACACATCTTCTCGTGAGGTATACCTCAATCTCTGAAAACTAAATTGTACAACCAGTGCGTGTTACCAGTGATGACTTACGGATCTGAGACGTGGCCCTTCACCGCTGGCCGTATGAGGACGCTCAAGGTCGCTCAGCGAGCTATGGAGAGGGCTATGCTCGGAGTTTCACTGCGTGATAGACTCAGAAATGAGGATATCCGCAGTAAAACCAGAGTGACCGACATAGCCCAACGTATTAGTAAGCTGAAGTGGCAATGGGCCGGCCATATAGCTCGAAGAACCGATAACCGATGGGGAAGAAAGGTTCTCGAGTGGCAGCCTCGTACCGGTAGGCGTAGTGTAGGGCGACCCCCCACTAGATGGAGTGACGACCTGGTAGTGAAGACATGCAGAAAGTCGATGGATGCAGGTGGCTCAGGACCGTGCTTTGTGGCATTACTTGGGGGAGGCCTATGTTCAGCAGTGGACTTGTGAAGGGCTGTAATGATGATGATGATGAAAATTTAAAATAATTAATATAGAATTTATTAATAATAATAAATTCCCTGCTGCTACTGTAGCGCCACCCTAATTTAACACATTTTGACAAACACTTTTTCATACACAGAGATAGTTCTCCATACCTCTACCCTCCATAAGTAAAATGTAGTGATTATAATAAACTGCCTTATGCCAACGTCATTGCGTTTTTTCCTTTGTAGTCTCGAAGGATGAGTACCATTGCCAATATCGAAATTTTCTATTATCATATATCAATTATTGCTTGATACTTATGAAGAGTTTCTCTGGTGGATAAAACTCGTAATAAATAACTTCACCAAATACTTAACATTACTGACATAATATCCTTCCATGTTTACAAACTCAAGTGGCATTAGACTGGTTGTATGTCAGAAGTGACAATCGGTGGAGCAGACTTTAACGGAGTAGAGACAGCACCTAGGACATAATGTGTGGCTCCCCCTGACCAAATGGAGCAACAATCTGCACAAGGTAAGAACTGAATGTGTGTAACCGAAGACCAAGCTAAATGGTGCAATGCACCTTGGGAAAGGCCAATGGCCAGTAGTGGACTGCCGCAGGCTGGTGATAATGATTAATGATGATGCTGATTACTTGATACATAATATATTATAACTAGAGTGCAATGAATGCATCATAGAGTATAATACAGTCACTACAATAGCAAGATTTGAAATAGATATCAATACATCACTAAACCATTTATATGCTATAAAGCATAAAAATTTACAATAGTGAGTAATGAACATTTAAATGCCAATGTTGTGCTAAAAATTTTGATGAGTTGTCTTGTGAATGTCTTGAAATTACTGTTGGTGCGAAGTTCCAATGGGACCCTGTGGTTTATTTTAGTTACTTTCATAAAATATAAGGTAAAGTGAAGGGGAAAAGGATTGGCACTGAAACTAAAATATTTAACTAAGTTAATTTTAAGCATTGCAATATATTTATGAAAATGTAATAATATTAATAATGTCTGCCAGACTGAATTTCAGTCATGGCATCCAGTCTCAATGAAGACTAGCTAACCATGTAGGACAGAATTATAGTGCCCAACTGCATGCGCATGCACAGGTGCACTCTCTATTCCTTCACTCTCATAGTCTGATAGAACAGTAATATGTCATGACCGGAGAGAGATCAAGCACAGGACCAATGGCTTTACATGCTTTCTGAGACACTGAAGTGTAATACCACCAACTTTCTAATTCTAAGCTGCTACTGAAAATTTCTTAACAGATAAGTCCAATAACTGAGTTTAGCCCGTCCTGGGGTTCAAATCTAATACCTCATGATTAGTTATTGTGTTTACGACAAATAAGGCAGTGAATGGGGACGAAAATGTAATGTATGTACATAAAAACAAAGATATTTAATAATAACATTAATATTTACAATTTAAATACTACAAACAAACCAAAGTTTGTATTTGCTAGACCTCACGGAATTACTTATTCATTTTTAAAAAATCAGTATTTATCAAATATAAATACTTAATTTTTTTCTATGTAAACTTTTAATACGAAATGCCAGAAAAAGTTCAGTTTGTCAATGAATAGTTATAAAAATGTTTATTCAAAACTGTATAGAGTTATAATATTAGGGACTTGAATAAAATGTAATAGTTATTTATTATTTTAATTTAAAATTTACATACTATTCCTTTACATCTAAATAGCTCCCTTAGGGGCACCATAAGCATCAGGCATTCTTTCAATGGTGTATTTATGTTGTGCCACATACATTATAGGCACTCCAGGTATTTTCCTAATTCTTCTTTTCAAATCTTTGTCATTAGTTGCTACAATATAGCACTTATGCTGAGTAACTCTTTGAACAATACAATCATCAGCATATGTTCCTTTATGAAGGCAAGCTATTCTTTCAAATCGAGGGTCCTTTATTATTCTTAGAGCCACACGATACTTTCTACCTAATTTTTCTAATTCACCTAAAACACAGTCCGTAATGTATGGAATACATTTTGCATATAAGCAATCCATCATATTCTGCACAATATCTAATTTGTTTTTAATTGAAAAATTTATAAAATTAGTATCAACGAGGATATGATATGGAGGACCTAATTGCGTATTATACTGAAAAAACAAAGCCGAACTCGCTTGAGGGACTTCTCGAATTTTCATTTCATGTGGATCAATTGGTTTCTTCTTTTTTGGTTCCAAACGCTCGCTTGCCTTAATACGTGGATCACTCGGACTTATAAGCTTTTTCATTTTTGCAAATCTTTTTTCAACAATCTTCCTTGTTTTACGTTGCTTCCCCTACAATTATTAAAACAATATTAAACATTTTCGTTTTTTAATTTTATACCATTTTCTGTTAAATGTTAGGCTTACCATTTTTTGTATTTTATTTCAAACAGGCTGTATTAGATTAAATTTTAGCAAATTAATTTCATAACATATAACCTCTGTCACAATAACAAACCAAAATAATACACCGGCCAGGCGTGTAACGTGCTTTTTTTTTTATTAACTGGCTTTACGGCTCTGGGTACTAGCTCTTCTGCGCGCCTATGTATCCTGCTAACTATGGAGTGTAGACTGCGCCCTCCTCTCTGCCAAGGAGGGTCGCGTCCGTATACGGCTTAGAGATCTCTCGTCAGATCGGTAAGCCAATCCATAAAGGCGGTGTTTAGTGGGTAAAAGTCTCCACATACCCACGCAGCCGGCTGCGTGGTATGCTATGAGCATTCACCGCCTCCCTCCCCCGCTTTCCGGAGGGTTGCCCATATTTGATTCGGGCGCAGAAAAAAAAATGTGTACAGGTAAGTCAAACAATCTCTCATGCAGAATAGTTGAAAAAGTGTCCACCTGTAAGCAATAAATAACAGTTCAAAAACTCTCCACAACAGCGCTGGAATAGCTACAGGGTATGAAATGAACTTAGCAGTTGTCGACGGTGTGAAGTATGCTGATAAACTGCTCAGTAGCTCTAAAATCTAAAATTAATTTACTTCTTAAATATAACCTCGAAAAAGTCGTCTATCCCACTAATATTTTTCAGCGCTTTCTTTAAAATTTACCCCGTAGCTATAGTGGTGCCACCCTTATTTACCGGTTTTCTACGGACACTTTATAATACACCGTCTGTCGTAGACAGAGAAACCTAGGTTTCTCTGTCTACGCAATCTGTATTCTATGGAGTGTAGAAGTAAGGAGTGCAGACTGTGTATTAAAAAGTGTCCATAGAAAACCATTTAATAAGTGTGGTGCCACTATAGCTACGGGGTAAATTTTAAAGAAAGCGCTTAAAAATATTTTAGTGGGATAGACGACTTTTTCGAGGTTATATTTACTAAGTAAATTAATTTAGATTTATAGTGAGTTTTTGAGCTGTTATTTACTGCTTACAGATGGCCACTTTTTCAACTATTCTACTATGGGAGTTGGTACTCCTTACTTCTACACTCCATAGTGCTAACGTTTACACCAAAGAGAGTGTATAATCGTATACAGACGTAGACAGAGAAACCTATAGACTAATGTTTAGCGTGGCCTCGAGTGAGGAAGGACAACAACGTAGTTTTAGGTTATACAATAATCTTTATGACTTTTAAACATATTTGGATAAATTTTTTAATTGTTCTAAGAACTGAACTGAACAAGATTCACCAATCTTAAGCTCAAAAACACTTTTTTCTCACTTAAACCAACTTGTAAACTCCTTAGATTGCTACAAACTGTCAAAATTGTTTAGCGTAGTGTAGTTTGCTAAACAAAAAACCGGCACGGAGAAAGGGACAAACAATCACACCATTCTGTCTCATTTCTATGCAAGACGTATGCATAAATCTATCTTTTTCGTGTGCGAATGCGAAAGAAGGCGTCAATTTATCTATAGGTTTCTCTGTCTACGATAACAACCTAGTTATGCAACCACAAGACCATAGGGTTGTTACGGTTCGTATTTAGAAGGGGCTGCATAAGCATTAGACAGTATCCAGTAACTGCAGAGTCAGCGCTTTTGGTTGCATGAGATATCAGGCAGAGCTCATGGGAGCGGCCACTTCGTTCTGACATCGACTTCTGTCAAGACGTATTAATTAAGTAGTTATAATTATAATTGTATTAAGAAATAAAATAGATTTTAAATAGTTTTTAAAAAATCATTTTACGTTCCCGTAATCTTGACTGGCGCAGCCGGTAGGATCGTCACACTTCGGTAGTGTTGCGTCCTTCGCGAATTCGATATAAAACTCTGTCGTAATCGGAGGTCCGCGGCGCGAAGAAAAACCGAGACGATCCTCGAACCAAAGAAATTTGTCAAGGAAGCGGAGCTGATCCTGAACCATGAGAGCAGCTGGGGGCTGGTGAGTAGAACTTTTCACCATCCTTTCCACTACCTCGACGTTCTGTTATCTTGAGATCGAACTTCTCTCATTTTAACGTATTCTGGTTAAATAGTTTAAAAATTAAATAAATAATTGTATGTAATAAATAATTTAAGTTTTACCTATTTCCATAATTTACAAATTATATACAAATTATATTTTTACAAAGAAATAGTTTTATTAAGCATATACATTTTATTTCTTAATAATTTTGTGTGATATTTAGATTTCTTTTACATTTTATTTTATTTTTATTGTTTGTGTGTGTAAATTAATACATAATTATGGAGAATATCAGACTTATTCCCGGTGAAATGATTAAAATCATCCCTACGTTTGATGGAGATAAACGTCATTTAAATCTATTTTTAAGAGTGTGTGAATATGTTATAGCTAAATTTACTGGCACGACGGAACAGAATTTGTACGTGATGAATACAATAACAAGTCGCCTTATCGGCAATGCAGCTGCATTAGTCGGGGAGCGCGATGATATCGAAACGTGGGATGAGTTTAAGCAATTATTAATTCAGCATTTTGGAGACTCGCGAAGTGAGGAGTGTTTAAATATCGAACTTGAGACTTTAAGAATTAAACCCGGAGAAAGTTATTTAGATTTTTGCTGTCGAATTCAATCTTTGAGATCAATTTTAATAGGCAAAGTTAATCGGTTATCGGACTCAAATATGCGTTGTAGTAAAAAGGCTATTTATGAAAATACGTCATTAAACGTTTTCCTGTACAATTTACCGGAACATTTAGTTCGAGTAGTGCGTCTCAAGGCCCCAAATTCATTAGAGGATGCGCTCTCCACTGTATTAGAAGAAGTTAACTTCCATAGTCAGTACCAAATGAGAAACAAAATGTCTGGATCTAATCTCGCATCTCATTCACAATCGCATAACGCATCGTCATCATTTAAATTCGGTAATAATAACACTCAACCTCAACATTTTTCTAGTTTTAAGCCCATGCAAATGAACCAACCACCTAGATATAATTTTGGTATCCCACCGAACAAGCAGGTGCAGATGCCGCTTCCCACTCTAGGTCAGCAGCGACAATTTAACAATTTCGGAAATTATTATCGACCACCACAACCTAATAACAACCAAATGCAATTCGGATATCGTCCACCTCAATTTGGCTATAGACCTGTAGGCCTTCAGCCTTTGCCTTCGATGCGTCCTCAACAGTTCGGTATGCAACAGCGATACAATAATAATAGTAATGCCCCACAGCATAACCAACCGCGAATTAACACAGATGTGTCGATGCGCACAGCACCTGTAGCACGACCGCAGCAAGGTTTTAGGGTAAATGAATTAGAATTAAACGAGAATGATTATAACGACGATATGTATTACTACGAAAACCCACACTATTTCGATCAATATCCTAATGACGCTTCTTACTGTTACCCCGAATGTCAATCCGAAGAAACTGTAAGCGCGGAAACTGAGACCAACGCGGCAGATACAAATGACATCAAGACGACGGAAAATATTGAAAATTTTCACATATACGCCTCAACCAAACCCCCGAAACCATAGCACTAAATTGTGACTCTAATTTGAAATTACCTTATATATATATATATCCCCGAGTTAGATTCTAAATTCATGCTGGACACCGGTAGCACACGTTCATTTATAAGCCCACGCAAAGCATATCAATATTTTAAAAACGAAATTTTTAATGAACCCTTCGAGGTTATTAGTACACATGCTACAAGTAGCCATAATCAGGTCATAGTTATTCCGTTACCACTCACATTTAAAAGCCCCGAATATCATAAGTTCTATATATATAATGTAGATTCGCGTTACGATGGCCTCATAGGTAATGACTTATTAAAACAATTAGAGGCTGTCATTGATTTAAAGCGTCATATACTTTCGACAAAATTTACAAATATCCCTATTATACATAATTTTGAAAATCACATTTTTATTTTACCTCCTAGATCGGAATTACGTGTTAAACTACCAACCGATGTACATTCAGGCGAAGCTATATTAAATTATAAGCAGTTTTGTGAAGGTGTTAGAATGCCAAGTGCTATTGTGACGTGCAATAACGGATATGCTTCAACAGTTATCCAAAATACTCTCGAACAAGAAATGACCCTGACCGTGACACGACCTTTCCAAACTGAGACTTTTAATGACAGTGAGAAAACCCTAGTTAATTCCCTTGTAGATAAAACTGATACCAACATTGACCAACTCCTATTACAAAATTTAGGTAAATTAAGATTAGAACACATTAATGAGGAAGAGCGTAAAACTATTTTTGCGCTCTGTGCGGAATACAAAGACATGTTTTACTGTGACAAATTGCCCTTGACGTTCACCAATCAAGTGAAACATTTTATCCGTACCGTTAATGAAGACCCAATTTATACTAAATCGTACAGACAACCACCCGCTCAAGCTCAGGAAATAAAGAGGCAAGTAGAGAAACTCTTGGAAGACAATGTCATTCAAGAATCTTTCTCTCCTTGGAGTGCCCCAGTTCATTTAGTACCAAAAAAGGTCGACGCGTCTGGGGAACGTAAATTTCGTATGGTGATCGACTACAGGCGACTTAACGAAGTGACTATAGGAGACAAATATCCTCTACCAAATATTAACGACATATTTGATAAATTAGGCAAATGTACATACTTCTCGACCTTAGATCTTGCAAGCGGTTATCATCAGATTGAAGTCAACGAAAGTGACCGACAAAAAACTGCGTTTAGCACCGAATTTGGCCATTACGAGTTCTTAAGAATGCCGTTCGGATTAAAGACAGCGCCGGCAACCTTCCAACGCGCAATGGATAACATTCTAAGAGGCCTGCAAGGAATCCACTGTTTAGTCTACTTAGATGACATAATTGTGGCATCTCAAATTCTCCAAGAACACATTGAAAAGTTACGCATGATTTTTGACAGACTACGACAGACTAACCTCAAGGTGCAACTTGATAAATCTGAGTTCTTGCGGAAAGAAGTCCTCT